GAAAAACTCATTCAGTAGAAATCATAAAATTAACTGGAACAAGACCAAATTAAGAGCAAGACAACCTTTGCCTCAAGTTACTGGCACAGCTGGAGTAGATCTTTGAACCTCCAGACTGTTGTGAAACACCTAAAAAAAAATAAATAAAATTTACCTGAGAGTACAATGTTTCCCAGGAAGCTGCGGCGTAGGTCGATGTCTGAGCTGAGGATTGACTTGAAGATACTCTCATGCATCCCATAATGGTCCTGTCCAATCAGCTCAGGTTTAAACAGAATCTCAGGGGCCCTGGATGAATGAGGAAGGAAGTGGATGACTCAATCATATTATAGTAGCCTTTTAGAAGAGGTAGATAATCTGAGGAGTCTATTTCAAAAACGCAGCCAACATGTCAGAACAGCACCTGCTGGGGCCTTACCATGAAGCCAATTCAACCTTGTCTGGCTCTTTTGGAGTAGCCCAACACTGTCTGCACTAGATAACCGGTATCATCAAGACTGTTATCAGTTAGCTCTGGATTTTCCTTTGGCTATGAACGTCTTTATGTGAAAGAAGCCAAATTGAAAGTTCAAAGCATCATGATCAGAACTATAAATGAAATACTTAATGTGAAAAGAGATGAAACCATGATATATTCAGATAAATTTTGTTATAGTGACAAAAGGAAGAGGTTTTCAAAGTGAACTATGATAACATACCTAGAATAGAATGACAAGCTGTGAAACACTATAAATCAATTCCAAATATTAAGTCAAGGCTATAAACAAGCACAGAAAGTCTCTATTACATTGTGTATCTTTTTTCATTGTCTGTTGATGAACAAATCGCTCTAAATATTGATTTTGTATGTGAACATAACGGACCGTTTCTACTGCTGAAGTGGAGAAGAGAAAGTAGTTCATGTCTCATTGTGTCATATAATTAGGGGAAATATTTAACTTTGTAGATTATTCTCATAGAGACGGGGTTTAGTTTTTATTTCCAATTATCATCCAGAGTCTGGTTATTCTGAGCTGCAGTGATGGAATAAGAATGTAAAGGCATCGACTTGTCAGGAATCCTGTCACAAATTAAAGAATTTTTGTGCAATTAGAATGCTTTGTCATTTATTGTGCTAAATTATCCCTCTGGTTTTAAAATGGCTGAGTGACAGATGGAAAGCCAGCAACAAAAATGATACGACTGATTCATAAAATATCTGCTCTTTATTATTTGTGAGTTTACTGTAAACTTTTGCTCATGTCAAGATCCTGATGACTCTGTGTCCAGTGATCTGACTGGTCAGTGGCCAGGCTGTTGTCAAGTTTTCATCTGAAGTTCATCAAGTCGCATACAGTAGATGATGCTTACAGTCTTATGCAAAAGTTTAGGCACCCCTTGATAAATAACAGATTTTGGTGATTTTTTATTTGAACAGATGTTAACACAGTTTCTCTTGGAAATGGAAAAAATGCACAATATTTTCAGCAAACAGTGATGCATAGTTACTTCTTATGCCATAAATTGAACAAAAATAAAAAATAAAAACATTATTATGGCATGGTGCAAAAGTTTGGGCACCCTAAGAGTTCCAGAGTCTCAAAGTCTCTCACAAGGTTTCAGACCTTAATCAGCTCGTTAGATCTGATGCACAGCAACAGCTGTCATTGGTAAATGCCAATTTCAAAGCTGTACAAATACCTTGACTCTTCAAACCTTGTGCACACACTTGTGGACACCCAGCAACCATGGGTTCCTCTAAGCAGCTGTGTAAGACCCTGAA